GCTTTTTACCAGTTGATTTATGTTAATGTCCATACAATATTTTCTCTTCCGCTTAAAAACCCACGAAATAAAAAAAAAAAAAAATAGAAACGAAACTATTTACTCTGGTCTATTTTTAGCGTCCGTTGTTGCGATAAACAAAAGGCGATAGCGAGGTGAGCATTGGATGTTTATATATAACACATGTCTTACAATTGCGGAAAACGGGAAACTGTGCATAACAACCGAGTGGGTATTGAAACAATGCCACATCACGCTTCACCTAACTCGTACATTTATACTATCGGTCAGTCCATCCACATCCAGAGGAGCGAGGGTGTACAAGGGCAAGGAAAGGGGTAAAGTGAAACACCGGAATATATACTCGCGCATGCTGATATTCCATGACGGCTGATTACACCCGGTAACCATTGATCAGTCACTAGCTGGCTTGCCCATTTGGCTTTGTTTTATCATTAGTTGAAGAGACGGGCATTGCTGCCACTGCTGTACTGGTTACCGCTTCTCTTCCCCTTCCTCTGGCCTCTCTCGTTTACTAGTGCAGGTAGTGGTGAACTGGACTGCCACAACACACACTGTACACTGTACACTGAACGCCCTAGACTAACGGAGGGCTACAGTAGGATCAGGATGCGGCCTCACGCGTCATCAATCCACGTAAATTTTTAGCGTGATAACCGCAGATATTATGACCGCCGGCGAATTCCATCGCTGCCGGAGATCGATTGTCATTAATTAATGCCGGTTATCCTGATTTTTTAACAAATTACGCCAGGCTTTTAGTTTTAATTAATTAATCGTTGATTGACTCATGGTAAATTTTAACTTAGTAAACATATTGGTGATTTATATTTAGACAATGCCATGAGAATAAATAAAGTTTTTATTTTTTTTTTTTTAGAAATATGTTCGTTAATAAACATGTTTTATTAATTGAAAATTGATTTTAGATGTTGATTAAACTTTAATAAGCTTCTTAGGAAAGTCAAAAAGTGATTTTTATTTAAAAATTATTCGGTAGTAAAAATCTTTTCGTCATTGTGGAAAGTGTAAAAAACTTGTGTGGAACATTTAATGGTCAAGTGGATTGATTCAACACAATCGTTAGTGTTGTTTGATGAGTCCGTTTTTCAATACAAAAAAATGTTATTTAACGAGTCTAAAACAAGATGAAAAAAAACTTTTTTTTTTATCTTAATTTTCATTTTTGTGAAGTTGATAAGTAATAGAATAAGTGTAGAAAAAATTTGAAAGCATTAGTCATGACCTTCATATAGAAATAACATTTTTAAATTTTAAGCCGCTACACTGAAAAACAAAATTCTCGATTAGAGGGTAAATTTTCTTGGTTCAAGTAAATATTAAGGAAAATTGAAAATTTCTTGAATGAAGTCAAAGTTTCTTGAGCCAACCCCCATGAAAAAAAAATATAAATAATATATATTTCGAAATATATAAAAAATATATAAATATATAAAAAATATATATCACAGATATATTTTTAATAACTAACTTTTGGCCGATTTTCATATATATATTTTAAATATATTTTAGATATATTCAAGATATATTTTAAAATACATAAAACAAACATAGCTAAAAATCTAAAAAAAATATATTTTGATTATATATTTTATGTATTTAAAATATATATATGAAAATCGGCCAAAAATTAGTTATTAAAAATATATTTATTATACATATTTTTTTTTTCATGGGGGAAGAAAATTTCTTCTTGCTCCAAAATAACTTTTGTCTTCCTTAAAATTATCTTGGTGCAAGAAGTTTGTTTTTTCTGTGTAGACCACCGGGTCCCCTTAATACTAAAGCAACACTATTTAAATGTTACCTCTCAAATCAATACGAAAAATGTGTTGAAATTACACAATGTGTGTTTAAATTTGATCCAGCTTGGTACTTGCACGAGAAGTGCAATATTTAGTGTTGTTGATAAGTGAAACATGACCTTCAAGTCGTTGACAAGTTAATATTTTTAATATTCAATAAAATTGTGTTGAACTTTAAGTTTGTATAAAAACAGTTATTAAAACAAATTTGTATATGTTAAATTTGATGAAAAATTTTTTACTATATAATATTAAAACAAAAAAAAAACCAGAATTATTAATCTTTTATTGTAAATCTTTAATCCTCAAAATTAAAAATTTCTTTTCAAAAAAAAAAAACAAATTTTAAACCAAAAAATCCTTTAATCAACACAACCAATTACAAAATAACTTGATTGAATTAAATTATTTCTCTTAAACCAACCCGTTTTTATTTCACACGGAGAGAAATTTATAGGAATCTTTCGAACAATTATGGTAATGGATCCTATAATAAAATTATCATTATAGGCATTAATCCTATACTCATTATGGGAACCATACCCATAATTTATTGGAAACGTTCCTATACAATAATGGAATAGCTTCAATATATTATGGGAATGGTTCCTATAATATTATGGGAATGACGCACATAATAATAGAAAAAAGTTTATTTTCTTAATAATGAAGTAATCACTTCAAAAATATAAAATAATTATTATGTATTTTTTTGCTAATAAAATTTTTTTTTGTAAATAAAAATTGATCTTTCACGAGAGTTAAAAAATTTCTTTTTCATAATTTTTGTTCACGTGTGTACTTAATCTTGATTATTTATTACAGCTCAGTTATTATTGTGTTAAATAATATTGTAGCAATTTTTAAGTTTCTCTAATAAAAAGGATATTTTCTCACTATGCAATTGTAGGAGCAAAATAGATATGGTAATTCATTGTTTATTTTCACAATTTTATTTTATTTTTAAAGCAAATTATTTATTTAGAATACATACGTTGAGCCGCTAAAACATTTGAAAATTTGGAATTTCAAAGCAATTGGAAATTTTATTTTATTTAAGAAATTTTTTTTTTTCTAGTAGAAATTTTTTTTTTTTAATTAACTTTTTTTTTTTTTTTAATTAATTTTATTTTAATTTACAAGCATGTATACCATTCAAGATTAAAAAAATATCAACTGTTGCAACTGATTAATTTCATAATGATAATAATAATAAATATTATTACTGATAACTTTTTTTATCAATTTATATATTATAAAAACAGAATCACTTAATCAAAATAAAATAAATCTAGTGAAAAGTAATTAATTAAATACCACAGTTGTGTGAAAAAAAAATTACTCCAATATTATTGGCATCATTCCTATAATATTATGGGAATGGTTCCCATAATATTATAGGAATGGTTCCTCTATAATATTATGGAAACTATTCCTATATATTATAGGAACCATTCCTATTTATTATGGGAATCATGCCGATATTGCAGTTATAATTATAGGTATCGTTCCTATAATTATTTTTATTTATTTATTTATTCGATTTATATGCCAAGGCATCAACCAAATGGCAAAAATACAAAAATAAGTGATATAAAGTATATGTAAGACTATAAATAGGTCTATATAAACACATTAACAATACAAAATTAGAAAAAGAAAAATAATCAATTAATTACAATCAGTCAAAGTGGAATGAAATAGGAGTAACAAGGAGTTTAAAAATATAAGTGCCAGACTGTTAGATATAATGTACTGCTAATTATATCTAAGCTAATTATCAGGCTCTCCTTGAGCTCAAGATCATGAAAGAATTTATAAGCTTTTGTCTTGAAGGTGTTAATACTAAGTGCATTGATGACATCCGGTGGTAATTCACTTTTATAGGAACCATTCCCATAATTATAGTAACGTTTCCTACAAATTATGGGTATAATTCCCATAATTTAAGTAATCGCTCCTAAAATGGTATAGGAAAATATTTCATTAAAATTATAGGAATGATTTCCATATTTTTCTCTCCGTGCAGTGAGTCTCTTAAAAAAATTTCCATCTTCAACCTGATTAAATTATCCATAATTCCGTCTGAGATGCCGATATTTTTTCAAGCCTCGAGTCTATTTAACCTCTGCAAGTTATTGAATAGAATAGAAGCACTTGAGCCAGTGAAGCAGGTTATGAAAAAGGTGTGAGAGCTTTTCATAAACGCTTATTTCCTCGCTGCGTCTCCACTCAACCTACTTGCGTTAAAGAGCATAATCGCGGAGCTCCCTGAACATAACACGACGAGTCTCCACCGCTGAAGTGTGCCAAGAGAAAGCTCAAATAGACCGTTTACCGTTCCAGCGGGCTTTGTCTCAGTACCACAGGTTGGTTACTTTCGAGTAACCCCTCACATTACACACAACAGCTGGTGAAGAAACGAGCGACCAAAAAAAAAAGTACATAAAAATAAAAATAACCCAGAATAAAAATGCAGGTGTATTTACAATGGAATTACACTCGTCAGCTTTTAAATTTCAGAAAGTAAGTGCGCTTGCTCCTTTGACAACTTTTGAGTGAACCCGGCGATACTTAATATAAGCTCCATCGCTTAGTATAGTGCCTCTCGCAATATCGCCGGGTTTTTGACCTAACCTTTGTATTGCATACCGAGTGTACCTGCTGCACTCAATGATATGGACACGGATACTTGTATGGTGTATATCGGTGTCTGTATCTCTGTGAGAGAAAAGCACAGAGAATTCAAAGTGTCGGAGTCGACATTCCAGCCGAGCCACTGTAGCGCAGTCGAGAATTTTCGACTTGACCTGGATAATAAGACTCGGTATAGTAGCTCTGCGAAAATCCCACTGTCAACCCGGATAACCATGCGCGCATGTCGTCCAAGCTACAGGGATTTAAATTCCTACCCTCGGTAATTGGTGGTCCAATCCCGAGATCTAAAGCTTTTTTATATCTGAGTATTTTTAAATTATGGAAAACTCTTTTTGGCTTTTTTTCGCGACTCGAGAAAATGATATAAAGAGCCAAATTTTTGTTTTAATTTTTTTTTAGAAGAATTAAGGACTGATTTTTACTTATGATTAAAATATATAAGATGAGAAATAGTAAAATTATTATTTTTTTTGTAATTAGTATAAAATTTCTCACCATGCTGTTTCTTCCAATTTTTAAGAAATCTCTCACCTGTAACAGAAAAAATAATAATTGTAAGTAAAGTCCTTTTTATAATTTTAAGATAGAATCATAATTTTTATTTAATTCGATTTAGAATTATGGATTTATCAATTTGAAATTTTGAATTAGAAATTGGAAACTCAATTTTAAAATTTAAAATTCGAGAAATTATTTCTTATTATAATTTTGAGTATTTAAAACTAAAACAACCAGTATTTAATATAAATTTTAGAATAAAAAGAAAAAATTAATTAATCATCAATTTAACTGGTGAGATTGAAAATTTTTAAAATAATTTGCAATTTGACTGATCAAAATAGAAATTTAATAATTATTTTTTACTGCAATATTAAACTTCGAATATATAATCATAAAATTAAAAACTTCAGATTATTTCAATGGATTTTTTTAAAAATTTTGACTTAATTTCACAACTGAAGAACCAAATTTTGAAGGTATATTTCTTAATTAATTATCCAAAATTTTTATTAATAAATAAACCGTCAATTAATTTTAACCTTCTAATTTCCCACAAGAAATTTTGTCATTTTTAATTTATTTGTCTGCACTCAAATTAAAAAAAAAATTTTTGAATTTAAGAAAAAAAAAAACTATTGATTTTCTATATTAAAAATCATTCATAAAAAATAAGTATTGATATTTGCAGTGTGCAATTTTAAATTCCAAATATTCTGAAAAGAATTCCATAAAAAATCACAAGTAAATTTAAATTAATTTTTCTCTATATAAAACTCAATCTAGCCACATGAAAATTACCATGAAATTACCAAATTTACCATCCCAGAAGCAAGTTATCAAAGAAGCTGGCCTTCCCCGGCAACTTCCACGATAAGCTCCGCTCGCGTCACCGGATGCGAGAAAACGAGGCCCTAGGGACAGAAAGCAGAACTAAAGCGCCAGGAGCGATCGTGAAATCTCCAAGCTTGTGCTTGAAAAAATCAGCGACGCATTAACATAACTAAACTTCCCCAGAGAACTGGAAATTCATCTTGACAAACGACTAAACGGTCCTCCGCTCGAGCACAGAACATGATCTCGTTAAACAAACTACTGTCCGGTGAACTTCTTCTTAACTTATACCAGCCTGACTGTAGCTGAAATTCATGGTGGGGTTTTCACTCTTGATTAAATTAAGATATGCATACAGCTTGTTCTAATTATCGCGTTGCAATTAAAACGCCAGGAGCATTTCGGAGTATTTCATCGGGAGATAGACTACATGTATGAGTACGACTATCGGGAAGATCTATAGACGTGAGACGTTAGACGTCTATGCTAGATTTTGAGAATAGAGACAATGAAAGAGGGTGGAGATAACTTGGCAAACGCGGAATCGGGCACATGCTCGTTCTAGCAAACTTAATTACGGTGTGGTGCTTGCGACCTAACATTTGGCAATAGCTCTCTAAATCTTCGAGGCAACAGAAGCAACCCCTTTGCTTTATCCTCTTTCTCTTTAGCTTGTCATTCCCATTCCACTTATGTTTTCTTCTCTGCTATTATTCTTCCCTGTGTTCTGTATCGCGGAACTATTTGTTCGCGCATGTCTATCAGCCGGATTATCCGTCTCCGGATAATAAAAGGCAAACATTTCTCTTTGAATCCGAACAACATCTCCGTTGCATTAAATCTATCCAGATCTTGAGAGCACGTGACAATATTTTTGAGATGGAGGAACAACCCGAGCGTTAGTTCCCTCGCAGTCGTAATGTATATATATGTAGATAAAATGAAAAAGGTTGTCACGTAAAAAACTCTGTAATAGTAACAGTGTTTGAATGTGAGCTTTTTTCTTATCAACATCAACTTGGAATATCTACGAAATGATGCCCTGACGGCTTTGAGTTGTATACAAATATCTAGAGCAACACGTATTACATTTGCGTATTACATCTTGGGAGATGAGTATAGAGTGAAGATAAAGTAAAAAAGGAATGTTAAGCGATGAAATGCTAGAAAATTTCTATGCTAAAAAATTGAAGGGAATTTTCACTTCCATCACTCGAAGTACCAGGGTGAAAAAAAGAACACTCCGCGAATGGAGTAAATATAGAGTTGTTTTTTTTTTATGGAGTGATTTTGAAGTGAATGCAGATTTTAATAGGCAAAAGATTCAAGTGAGAAATTTTTAGATTAAAATAAATTTTTATTTAGCTGCAGTTTCATATCGATAGTGTTATTTCAATTCGTCATATCCCACAAAATTTAAAAAAAAGTTTGGAAAATCCAAAAGTGCACGCCTCATAACGCTCATTCATTTTTTAATAAAAATATAAATTGTATAATTGATTAAAAAAAAAAAATTATAATTAAGTTATTTCTTACAGAGTATTTTCATTTTTTTTTAAATATTGGCGCCCTTTTTCCATATGCGCACGCAGTCTAAAAAAATCTAGCTTGATCAGGTGGCGCCACAATTTTTACGTGACAAATAAGAGAAGTTCGTTCGTTTTTGTACGGTTGTATCGTAGTGAATTTTAATAAAAATTCAATTTAAAAAAAAATACGTAAACTAGGCTACTGATATGAAATACGGACCCAATTAATCGAATTATTGAACTACTAAAAAAGGTCCGGTCTTGAAATATCAATTTGGTCGGGAGTAATCGTTGGTACATCCAAAATGGGGTGACATCAAGACGTCCACGTAAAATTTTTTTCAAAATAGCAACATGGAATGATTTTAGAAAGTAAGAGAAGGTTTAATTTAAGTGTTTTCTCGGTGTACATCTACTTATATTATTGTATAAGTGTAATATGATTGTGATAGAGGCATTTAAAGATTACAAAATTGCTTGACCTTGACGAGTCGAGTATAAAGCACAACCTCACGCGCTTCGCGCTATGAGGCGTGCAATTGACTTTTTTTGAAAAATAAAATCATAACAATACTATTTTTGAACAAATATTTTCATCTGTAGAATCCCATTTAATCAATACTAAAAATGAACTGTTTTTACCGCCTGCTGTAAAATTTTCTAAATGTGGGATGCGACGTATTAGAATGGCAGTATTGATGTGTTAAATTATTAAAAAATATTTCAAATAATTTATTACAAATTTAAGTTTTTGAATATTAATTATATTTTTTCAAAATTTTGGTTTTGGAATATTGAACCAAATTTAGATACATATTATTTTGTTTTTCGATCTTATTGATAAATTCTAAAGTAAAAAATAAAAAATAATAATAAATTAACATTAATCAAACGTAAATTTTTTACAGTGTACTGTTTTAAGATTTGCTTAAAATCAAATAAAAGGGTGGTGATAAAATTTAAAAGTGTAATTGAAGAAAACACAAGGGTGTATTTGCATCACTAATACGTTGAAGAAATAATCAATGACCCGAAAAATTATTCATTTGATAGGATTATGAAAAATTAAACTTTTATGATAATGAACAAGTTACTCGTTTTATGGCTTCCAATAAAAAGATTACTCGGAAAATGAGTCTTCCAAACAATTATTCACCCCGAACTAGCCCTTGAGGAGCAATTTTGTTTATACATTCAGCTCAATTCAAGCAAAATTATTCTCGTTCAACTTCAACTCCGATAATCACAAAATCTATTCCGAAGAATTCGATTCAATGTTTACTGATATTCCTCAAAATCTTCTAATCTCATAAAACCATAACTCATAACTCGTAACCCAGCAGCCCCGAAACTATTAACAAGTTTAAATAATAGTGTATCGACAGGATGTAGACACCGTGGAAGTAAAGTTTCGCTGTTAGGGTGGAGTAGAAGTAAAATACATTTAGTGGTCGTTACTCAAGCAGATGCTGATGGTGATGGTAAGTCTGGGCGTTAATACCATCCGAAAACACTTTGCGAAGAGAATAAAGCAACTTTGTTATTGAGATAACCTCTATTGAAAACAGTCATCTCTTATCATACTACTTGTCTTCATACTTGTGAAAAAAATTTTTGATAGCCCATATGTAGACATACAAAGCCATATTAGATAATTTGATATAACTGTATACACTTCCATATGATATGGTCTTATATGTCCATATAAAATTTTTGGAATGTTCTGAAATTCCCACGGAGCATAAAAAATTTTTAAGCTAAATAACATATTAATTTTTACTTGCTAATATTACTGTTGCACATTTTTAATGCACAGATATTATATTAAATACATTAAAAATCAGTTTAAAAATAATTTTCATTATAAATTCAGTTCATCAAATTGTTAGGTTATTGTAGTATTTTTCACGTAGAGTCGAGGTGCGCGCGCATGTCCCATGCTTCTCCGTATGGTTCAATCGTCCCCGGGACTACTGGTTCAATTGACCCCATATAATTTTAAAATAGTTTATAGTAAATAATAAATAATTAAACGATTATATCACTATAAACAAAGTTGAGGATTATAAAGTATAAGTATATACAACTACTATAATTCAAACTTTATCAATTAATTCAAAAATTGAAATATTATTAAACAATTTGTCATCAGCCGAAAAAAAAGTTTACATGTCTAAAAATAAAAAAATCTCAATTTTTCAAAATTGATTAATCGCAATGATTTCAAATTTTGATCATATCCGAGTTTAACATATTAAAATCTAATTCTAAGAGCATAAAGCGTTTTTTCAATTTTTTCGATTTTTTAAGTCTAGTGGTTCAATTGACCCCTTTCTCCCCTACTTTTCAGATTTCAATAAAAATATCATATTGATTACTTTACGTTATTAAAATTACGGATTCAGAATATGTGACTATAATAATTAATAATAATACTTGCAAAGGAAAATCAAATACGTAAATTAATTTTAATTACATACATTTTACATCCTAAAGTGTTATTTGTAACACATCAAAAATGGTAATTTTAACATATCATTTTGTGTTCCAACAGCTCAAAGATATGTATAGAGATATATGTACATAAAATTTTTTTCGTACGAAAACAAATATTTTATTTGGTTTTTTATCATGACTATTATTATAAATTAAAAAAGTTAACGGGTATCT